TTATCAATATATTTATTGTATATTTCTAAGTGGATTTTATTCCCATTCTAGCTAGCTAGCTAGCAAGCAAGCATCTCTGTAACACAAAGTCCACATCGTCACATCTGGAATCTGCAGTATCACAAACTGGGAATTGTAGCGTTGATCATGGAAACGACTCGTGATGCCGAAACGGCTTTGCCGCTGCCGAAGGACATGTCTCACCACTTTTCCGATGTGACCAAGGCCCGGGTGCCGAGTCAAATGAAGCAATTCTACAAATACTTTCAGATCCCCGGCATTGGTCAGCTTGCTGGCGGTAAGGGATGATCCCTTACATACCTTACCCATCGCCTGCCTTGGCGATTATCAATACTTACCGGTACATAATAAATACTAGTAGCGATGCTGATTCAATGCCTCAGGTCTACCCAACGCGGGTCTCTTCCCATTCGATACCCTCGAAGCCCAAACCGCAAGCCCCGACCGATGGACCCCGTCGCCGAATTATCCGGATCCCGATGGAGTGCTGTCTTCGCAGATGGCGGCGACGTCCATCTCGAAGCAGGCTATCGCATCTCACATGGTCGTGCCACATGATGCACCTACATCAGATATGAAGAGGAAGATAGATCTTGCCTCCGCCCTGCAATACGGCCAAGCTGACGGATACCCGCCGCTACTTTCCTTCATCCGCCAATTCGCACGTGAAGTCTTACATCCGAACGTACCGTATAGGGGAGGGCCGGAAGTGGTCTCCACTGTCGGTTCGACAGATGGCATGGCTAAGGCTTTGGAGGTCTTCACCAATATCTGGGTGGATGGGAAGCACGACATTCGGGATCGTCCAGGTATGGTGTCCGAAACCTTCCTCTACACGAACGTGATCGGTCAGGCCGCACCTCGAGGTGTGCAGGTCGTAGCTATCGAGATGGATGAAGAGGGCATGGCGCCGTATGGCCCGGGAAGCTTGGAGGATGTGCTTGCAAACTGGGACTTCAGCAAAGGAAGACGACCACACCTTATGTACACTGTCACGTAAGTTCACCCCCCTCCCCTATTACAAACTCTTTGCTCGAGGGCGTTTGCATCTATTATGTGGGAAATCCGCAGCATGACTTGCTTAAAGCCGTATGGGCCTTATTAACATATTCTTGTAGGATGGGCCATAACCCAACAAGCGGTGTCTTGTCGTTGGAAAGGAGGAAGGAGATATACTCAATTTGCAGTAAATACGACGTCATTATCATCGAAGATGACCCGTATTGGTATCTTCAGTACCCATCAGCAGCGGTTGAGGAGGCCAAAGCGAGGAATTTACCTATGCCCGAGCCAAAGATAGCGAACACCCTCACCAAGAAATCCGGATACGAATACATCGATTCTCTTGTACCCTCCTTCTTGAACGTGGATGTAGATGGTCGAGTTGTGCGACTAGATACTTTCTCTAAGACCGTAGCCCCCGGATGCCGTATGGGATGGGTTACTTCGACGCCGGGGATCTGCGAGCGCATCCTCCGTGTCAGCGAGGCGGGCACCCAACAACCATCCGGCTTCGCGCAGGTTGTTATCGCCGAGACTATCATGGGACCCCAGCCCGACGCGGCGGCAGTGTTTACGGCCCGATCCGCGAAGGATCGGCCCGCCTTCAACGGTTGGAAGATGGATGGCTGGGTGCGCTGGCTCGCCGGTTTACGCGGCCAGTACGAGAGGCGCATGAATCGCATGTGTCGGATCCTCGAGGAGAATGCATATCAGCTTAAGCAATCCACCCCTATGCGTGATTCGGATGCCGACTGGGGTGTCATCACCAAGACGCAGCTGTATGACTTCCAATGGCCACGAGGTGGTATGTTCCTCTGGGTTCACATGCGCTTCGAGACGCATCCGCTATGGAAAGCCGCCGGTTCGAAGGGTAACATCATCAACGGGACCGCACTATCCACCGCATTGATGGTCTTCCTGACCCGCAAGCCTTACCTGGTGCTCGTCAGCCCGGGCCTGATGTTCAGTGCCACGCCCCAGATCCGCGAGGAGAGGGGTTGGGCTTACTACCGACTCTGCTTTGCCGCCGAGTCCGAGGAAAACATTGATGTCTCATCCCTGCACTTCGGCGAGGGAGTCCAGAAGTTCTGGCGTATCAAGGACGTGAGAGAGCTAGAGGCGCTCCTGGAGGACGTTAATAGCTTCCACACGGAGGACTTGAGCGGCGTGGCGAACTTGGGGACCTGGATGGGCTGCTAAGAACAAGAATTTGCACCGACATATTCGAAAAGACCTATGTAAGAGAGGCAGGGAAAGGTTTGATGCATACCTTTGGCAATGTTGGATAATCGATTGACGCTTTATATCCGCTAGTCTTGAGGAGCAATGAGCGTACTCGTAGATAGATACAACCACATGGGTATATTTCTGGGCTGGAGTTAATCTCAATTTAGAATCGAATTTAGGTCGAAACTGGATCAGATCTGATCATCCTATAGAAGAGGAATGGTTTGTGTTGGCCATAAAGTATTGGTGAGGCCCCTAAGCATAACGGCTTCTGATCGGTGTTGTCGTATTACCAACATTGAAATGGAGTTAGTATGACGGGGCTAAAAACTACCTACACATGTCCATGTACGATTTTAACTGCACTATATTGAGGCCTAAACTTTTAGAGTTTGGCCCAACATCTAAACGAGGTCTAGACGACATAACGATTCACATAACTTCATGCCTATCTCCTGATTGCATTTAGCAACGAGGGACACACAGGCTCGATAGAAAACAGAATATGTTGCGTAACACAATTAAAATAAATAGCATTTACAACATTCATATACCTTGTATCGACGAGCTTACTAAGTGAGTGCATCGCATACAGTCACCATTAAATAGGAAATATGGCGATCAGAATGAGAATGTCAATTGATTCATGATACCCTATGATCCATTACGCCGCCGTGACTGTAGCAACTGATCCCCTGATTTCCCACCAGCTAGACTAAACTGCTCACCAAGCTAGTCTGATTTAATCCTCACGCAGAACCTCCAGGAAAGTCTTGGGGGTTTTAGGAGGCTTGCCTTCCGAGGCCTTCTGTTGACCAACCTTGTTCTTTACGAAGGTGGCGTGGTAAGGGTTGAATCGCAGCATGACTTGCTTGTTGCGGAGAGGGTTCTTCTGGACACCAGCGCGCTTGGTCAACGGACCACCCTTAGGAGCCTCAAGGACGCTCTGGATTTCGGAGCTGTTAATGAGACGGCTGAGATCGGCCTGGGAGACCAGGTTGGAAGGCAACAGGAAGTCCTTCTTCAGCTCGGAAGGCTTCGTGGTGGTGCCGTAGATCTTGTCGAGGGCCTTGAACGCGGCCGAAGTCCAAACGATGAAACGACCGAGGTGGCCACCGGGGGCGAGCTGAAGGAGATTCAGGGCGAAGACGGAGCAAGTCTCGACACCGGGGAGGTTGCGGGTTCCGGTAACGATCTCTTTTCCGTCAACCTCGGGGTCGTAGATGACCAGAGGTCCACGTCGCTGGCGGTGACGGCGACCCCTCATCTTACCCTTTCCGGCGCGGAGCTTCTTCGACTTCTTAGCTTTCTCGATATCGGCACCAGCGCCGACAGCGTTGAGAATAGCAAAGGCGCTAGCAGTCTTAGCAGCAACACCACCCTCGAAAACGGACGAGTCGATAACCAGGGGAACCTCAGGGACGGAAGAGATCTCGTGGCCACGGGCGAGCAATAGCGGGGGAACAGCGGAAGCGGCAAGAGCAGAGGCAGTAGCAAATCGCCTTTTTAAGACATTAGTACACAAATGATGCTCGGCGAAACTGAATTTTACTCACTTCTGGCCCTGGTTGATCTTGATGTGCCACTTGCGCCAGATCTTGGTAGGGGCGAACATGCGACCGGAACGGCACATGTTACCGAAGGCGGCCTGACCGGCACGGTGAGTACCACCACCAGAGACACGGGGGATACGAGCGACGGCACGACCTGCGTAAGTATGTTAGCAACTGATAAGGCTAAATGAAATATTTTCGCTACTGACCAGTTCCCCAAGATTCGGCAGAAGTCTGGTGGCCAGCCTTCTCGCTCACGGCATAGGGCTGTCGCTTGTTCTTGGCCATTCCGGTGTGAACTTGTTGGACGATATCAGGTCGGATCGGAGAGGCAAACACGGTAGGAATGGTATGGGTAGCTCCCGAGGGAGAACCATCCTTGCCGATGATGGTGACAGTCGGTCGAGAGGCCATCGTGAAGGTCGTAATACTAAATTGAGGTTGTATGTTAGTCAATTGAAGAGAAACGAGAAGCGAAGAAGAGAAAAAGGCAAGTGCTAGAATAGAAAGTACTGAGCACTTGAGGGGACTGACTCTGCCGGACTTACCTCGACGCTGGGTGTTGATGGTCTCAAAGGGGAGGTTTGGTGATGTTGAATGTCGAGGAATCAAAAAGTACACTGTTGAATTAATTTTCTTGTGGGTTTGCGAGAGGGCTAAGCGAATTTTCCGGAGGGCCGCCCCACTTTCCTATTAAAATTCGCACTTGCATACATGTATGCACTATGCATTTAAAGCACATTTGATATCACAAAAATCTCAGAAACCATCCAAAGCACTTATGAAAATAGTTGATCAATACAACATTTGGAGTCTATAGAACAAGCTAAAAAAAGAAAATGAAGCTGGTTCTATGATGGTGTTGCATGGGAAATCTCTATGGCACTGGGAGGATACTATTTTATTGAGTCCCAAAATGAAACCGAGTGTGGTATAAGCGGTTTCGCGACTGATATACAAGTTAGCAGCATCAATTGATATAGAGCATCACCAATATCTCATTCCATCGTTCATGATCTTGTGGAGCCATCGTTCCTAGCCGCAGGAAAAGTTATCATATGGACTCTTTAGTTTTAGTCTGCCTAGTACACATAAATATCCAAGTACTTAAGCACATTCGCCAATAGTCAAATTTTTGAAGCAGTCAACTTAGACGTTAGGAGCAAAATGAAAATATAGGAAAAAAAAAAGGATAGACTCCGAATCGGGGAATCGAACCCCGGGCTTGACGGATCATCATTGATATGAGAGCGTCAAATGTTAGCCACTACACCAATTCGGATGATTTGCTGATAGTGATTCATGCCGAAGTTGTGCTCTATATCTCAATGTTTGGTGCGCCTAGACTTTACTGGCTAGGGCAAATTCTATATAGGCTAAGCATCTGGGCGTCCAGTTTAAATGTTACGTCACTACCCGACAATACCCGCATTGTAAGTACCCCTCAATGTTCAACATTGTATGGACTTTATACATAAAAATTATTCTGGAACTCATTGTGTGTATCCGCACTTATGTAAGTGCCTAACTACCAACACTGGAGATGAACTCTTATGCAATCATCAGCAGTATATTTTATTCCAACTTACGAACTAGCAGTATAGCAAAGTAGTAGTTCGAAGGCCGTGAAATGAAAGGATACAGGGCCATTCACACCTCAAGCGATGGTTTACCTTTGAAAGAAAAAAAGTTCATAAATTCAAATAAAGTAATCGGCAGATAAATACATTATATCTCCTATAAGGCTACAAAAGGTGTTGTCTGTTAAGTTATCTCGATGCCGTTAAAGATTTATATGAATCTATCTGTATAAGGAAGAAGAGGTATACTACCTAATACTTGACTGGATGGGCTACAGAACCAGGTATAGCTCATTGGCAAAGCATAATCAGATACAGCCGCCTTAGCACTCATAGCACGGTGTTGAGCTTTGTAAATGCCGCCATGGCATTTGCTCGCTTAGATGATAGATGGTACGCTGACCCGAGATGATAGGCACTAAGATGGGAGAGGAAGTTACGAATTTGAATTCGCGCCGAATTGGAGATTCCAGAACTTCGTGAGGGTAGGTACATACCTACATGCTGTGGCGGCTTCAATGTTCAGGGGGGTTGAAAAGCTTGGCTTTCCGAGCCACCCCTGATCCTCGTTGTGAATCACCAATCCCGATGCAGCTGGTCCACTTTGGCACGTGTCGGTGGTACACAGGGCTTGAGTCTCTGTGATAAAAAGCATCAAGTCATAATTTAGGTCCGGGACCTGGCATAGGGATGGAAAAAGAAATCGAAAAATGTGCTCACGCTTCCGCATTCAATAGTGCTTCGCGCTAAAGGCAAAAGATCCGCGCTTCCAGACTGGATACTCTCAGGTTATGAGTGCTAATTCCGTAAGATTTAAATCCCGTTATTAGCGTCTTGTTAGCGGCCAGGTCGCAAGGTTTTCCCAACACTGCTAAAGTACATAGAGTTCAAGATCTCCACCTGTCTCAACCCGGAGAGACTAAGTTGGCTTCCGAGCACGACGTAAAAACGAACCTCACGGGCCGAGTCCCAACTGCTCGGTCTCCTTAAGTATGAACCCGGCAAGCCGGATACTGCCGTCATATCTTGTCCAGCTAATTATCTGCTCTCTATCTACCAGCATAGGTACTCTATGAAGTGAATCGCCCGTTTAGGAAAAGGACCCTAACGAAGCTGAACGAATTGCATATCACGAATCAGCCCATCATCTTTTGCAGGTCGACACCCACGTATACCAACATGGAAGGTCCCCCCGCTTTGATGGGATGTCATGACAACAAGCTTTGCCCGGTGTGGTCGACTCGAGGTCAAATTGATCATGATAGCCACTTAATGTGGTAACGCTAATAGGCGGGCTGAATACCATGGATGACTCCCATCACCAGAGTAATTTCGAGTAACGCTCTAATTCTCGCTGCAGTGAGGCTAACCTGTAGGTGGCGTCTGATAGACACGCATCGTCCGATGCTTACCGGACTGCTGATAGAAAGTTTCAATTCATTGTTAGGTCATAAGATGCACAAGGGTCGAGAGCGCCGTGCATCGCTAATGACACGCAGGTAAATAAGCACATACGCTTATTTTTATGAGTGAGCATACGGGTTATCTCGAACGACTTGCGGCTTGAAGCTCTCATCAGAGGTTCGCTGCCAGCCAATCCGATCCCAGGCGCTACGCTGGGTTGCACTGCATCGCTGCAAGGTCTCGTATTTTAATGTGGCAGGGGTCCCGCAGCCATCAGGCGTGGGCGGCTCGGCCCCCCTATCTCGCAGATATTGCCAAAAGATTATCAGGCACAGAGTGCCTGGGTGGTAGCAAAGTATCATAATGTCGGTTCTCAGATATCTTCCGTGTATTTGCTAGCTGGGCTTTGAGTTTGGTTTTTCTTTTAGTTTTTCTTAGTTTTTCATCACCTGGCCCAGACGTTGTGCTCGTTCACTTCGAAGACGTCGTTGGCTTCCTTGTCATTCTTTTGCAGCTGAAGAAGCTGTTGTCATCTTTAAAAATTTATGATTCATGCCTTAATTTCTTAATATATTAGTAGAATAATATTATCTGACACAATGCTTTGGAACATTGTCCTTTGGGGGACCATATTGTTGTCGAGTCCCCTAGCGAGGTCAGATCCAACATGGCCATCCCCGAACGACGAGCTTGAAGAGATCATGTACCAAGTTACTGGGTACCGGTCCAGGAACTTTGGTGGGACCGTGATTCCGTGTTCGAACGAGGCATCTGGACCGGGTCGACAGAATGCAGCAGAATGGTTACGAGCGGCCTTTCATGATATGGCCACGACTACATTCCTGGGTGGTGTACGAGCCGGCGGCATGGATGGTTCCTTGCAGTACGAACTCACCAGTTCGGACAATCTGGGTCCCGGCTTCAACACCACTCTCAAGTTCATGGCCGACTATTACACGAGCCGGTCAGGCGTGGCTGACCTTATCGCTCTGGGCGTGTATTATGCGGTCAGGTCTTGTGGCGGCCCTGTGGTGCCTGTTGCTGGTGGTAGAGTCGATGCTGTGGCGGCTGGTCCCATAGGTGTCCCGTTGCCTCAAAATACTGCTTACACTTTTGAGCAGCAGTTTACGCGGATGGGATTTAACAAGACCGAAATGATTCAAGTTACTGCCTGCGGCCATACTATTGGTAGTGTTCACGATAACGAATTCCCAGAGATTGTCCCAGTTGGAACTACAACAAATGGCGAGGTTGCCATGGACTCGACTGTCGCGGCTTTCGATAATAAGGTTGTCACTGAATATATCGCAGGCAACACAACTAACCCTATGGTTGTCGGACCATCTATCAAGGCTACTCGGAACTCGGACTTCAAGGTCTTCAACTACGACGGCAACGCAACAATCAAAGCAATGGCAGCCCCCGCTGACTTTAATACCATATGTGCTACCACGCTTCAGAAGTTAATTGACACTGTTCCTGAAGGAGTAGTGTTATCTGACCCGATCCAGCCATATGCTGTCAAGCCCGTCAACATGCAGCTAGCACTTAACGCCGGAGCCTCAACAATGCAGCTAACTGGAATTATACGTGTTAGAAGTACTAGTTTTGAAGGAGACTCTGCTTCTAGTCTAACACTGAATTACAAGGACCGAAGCGGAGGCGATAACTGTGGAAGCTCGGGTTGCAAATACACAGCGACGGTTTTGGGCGCAAGTCAGGGCTTTGATGATCAATTTGTTGTAAGTATACGTTACAGTATGGAACCACCTTTGTTAGTTGAAGTCTAACATGCGCAAGTGGTTCCCCATTAATGCCGCCATACCAACTTCTACGGGTATCTCGTCATTTACCGTGACCCTTACCATGGCCAGTGGGACGAGTCAAACATTTGATAACAATGGGAATTCATATCCCATGCAGGACGCTATCTTAATTCAACAGCCTCAAAGTTGTCTTTTCTCCGGAACTCTTACCGTTACGGCAGCCGTAAGTTGTCCGTCGGCCTTAGTCGAAGGCGATTGCTGACATTTCTTCAGGTTCGCAATGACCGTAAATCCCTTCCTGTCAATATGTTCATTTCCTACAAGACATCCACGGGGAATCCCAACCGTCCGGTGCCCAGTCTCAAAAACACCACGGTCACCATGGCTGAAGGAGCTTGTGTAGGCGCGTATACATTTTATACGGCTAATTATACGGGTCTTGGTGATCTTGGGTATGCGTCCAAGATTGATGTTATCAGCGGGACCGGTTCTTCCACTCTTAAAGACGACTTCAATGCCGCAAGTGATTTGGGAGGAACCTGCCAGACTTTCCAAAACCCTCCTTCGTCTTTATGTTCTACCGGACAACCATCAACTACCTCCTCTGTGGACACTACCTCTTCGACATCGAGCACCTCGATTAGTATCACCTCATCGACTTCCGTAACCTCATCCACCACTGTCACTAGCACGACAACATCCCCCACAGGCCCAACCGAGACACTGCATCATAGGCAGGATCTTGGTGAATATGTACTTGTTGGGTGTCAAACAGAATCAACGTCAGGAGGCCGAGCTCTCGGCGGCGCCGCGTTTGCTTATGACAGCATGACGCTGGAAAGTTGCATGTCCAATTGTACTGGGTTCGTCTACTTCGGGACGGAGTATGGCAGAGAGTGTGAGTTTCTGGAATTGACGGGCTCGTTAGCAAGGTAGATAACTAACATTTCACGCAGGCTATTGTGGCGATTCGCTCCAGTCGACAAGCCAAAACGCATCCTTGGCTGACTGTAACATGGTCTGCGGCGGAGATCCTACGGAATACTGCGGTGCTGGGAATAGGATAGAGCTGTACAGTACGACAGCTGGTCAACCGGCACCAACCGCCACGCTCGCTCCCAAACCAACAGTGTCACCATACGTTCGAGTCGGCTGCTACACAGAAGTTCCGGGTGGCCGGGCTCTGACTGGAGCGGCGTATGCAGATGATGCCATGACGCTGGAAAAATGTGCGTCTAATTGCGCTGGTTTCACGTTTTGGGCTGCGGAATATGGCCGTGAATGCTATTGCGGTAATATTCTAGACAGTCTCAGCACGCCGGCCCCCGAAGCCGATTGCCAGACAATGGCGTGTGCTGGGGACCGGTTTGAGTACTGTGGGGCCGGAGACAGACTCGAATTATATAAGCTTGCGACAGCTTCTTCAGCATCTACCGCGACGGCGACAGCGAGCCCGACTGGCTCGTAGTTCCTGGCTTCTTAGAGTGTTATGTGTTTATGAGCAGGTATGAGGAAAATTGGGTTAATCTTCC